AGAACCATGCCCGGGCTCTCTGAGGGGAGCAGCCCGCGGGACTGAGGGAACCATGCCCGGGCTCTCTGAGGGGAGCAGCCCGCGGGACTGTGAGAACCATGCCCGGGCTCTCTGAGGGGAGCAGCCGCGGGACTGTGAGAACCATGCCCGGACTCTCTGAGGGGAGCAGCCGCGGGACTGAGGGATCATGCCCGGGCTCTCTGAGGGGAACAGCCCGCGGGACTGTGAGAACCATGTCCGGGCTCTCTGAGGGGAGCAGCCCCGCGCGCCCCCTCGGAGCCGCCGCCTCCCGCGCGCTCCTCGAAGCGCCTTCCCGCCGCTGGGTGCTGGTGACGTCACGGAGGGGCGGGGCCGGGGCTCCGCGGGGTCGCCTCAGAGCGGCTCCGTGAGGGGAGCCCGGGGCGGGGGGACCGCGGCGAGCCCGCCCACCGGGGCTCGCCCGGTTCTGCCCCTGGAGGGATGCGCGGGACGCCGGTCCCCGGGACGCCAATCCCGCTGTTTGCCCAGGGCTCCTGTCCCCTCAGCCCCTCTCTGCCACCGGGCGCTCCCCGCAGCCGGCCCCGCCGGCGGGGGCCGGGCGCGGTGCGGCCCCGGGGCGGAGCGCGGGCGGCGCCCGCAGCCCCGGAGCGGTGCGGCGGCGGCAGCGGTACCCATGGCCCTGCCGGCGGAGGCAGACCGGCTGGATGGGGGCTGGCAGGAGGTGAGCGAGCCCCCGCCGACACCGAGAACCCCGGGACCTCGCTGTGCGCCTTTCTTCTCGTCCATCCCCTCACGGTCCTTCCCCAGCCCTGCGCCCCCGCTCCGTGCCCGGAGGCACCGGCAGCGTTGCACGATCCTCCCCCGGTGTCTGTCCCCGGTCGGTGCTGCCTATTCCTCTTCGGCACCCCGCTGTCCCTAATCCCCGGCCCGTGCTGCCCGCTCTTCTCCGGGATCCGCCAGTCCACCTGCCCGCTCCTATCCCGGTCCCCGGTCCTTGTCGTTCCTCACTGAGCTCCCGGTCCGTGCTGCCCGCTCCTATCCCGGTCCCCGGTCCTTGTTCCTCACTGAGCTCCCGGTCCGCGCTGCCCGCTCCTATCCCGGTCCCCGGTCCTTGTTCCTCCCTGAGCTCCCGGTCCGTGCTTCCCGCTCCTCCCGGGACCCCGCACTCCCCGGGCGCTCCTGCCGCGCCTGGGGCTGTGTCACCTGAGCTCCCTCCCGACCTTCTCCCCAGGTCTACTCTGCGCTCCAGTGGATCCAGTTCACCATGGCCATGCTCAGGTACGACGCGCTGCCCATGGAGTTACTGCCAAGATGATTTTACCCAGAAAAGCAAAAAAAGAGAACTCGCGTCTCCCAGCGAGGCAGACGCGCTCCTGTTCCAACCTGTGCTTTGTTTTCTCAGCGTTGTAGGTTCCAGCTCAATTATTGCCTACGCCGTCTTCCAAAACGCAGTGCGGTCCCCCGAGGTAAGGTCTGAGCTTCCTTTTCCCTCCTTAAGCCGCGGTATCAGTCCCTGCAGGTGGTTCACCTGTAGCACAGACCCTCTCCTAAGAGCAGCTGCAGGTCTCAGGGTTATGTGATTAAATCTTGCTTAATAGCTGGGAGGAAAAGGGCTTGCTAAGAATTGGATTCTTTGTCTTGGTAGGAGGTGAAAGGACTGACCTTGAACCTGTGCTTCTGCAGGGAGAAGCAGGTTCGTTAGTCCTGTGCTTTCTGCTGCTCCTGGAAAGTCCTCCAGTCGTTCCTGGGAGCGCAGATTTCCTAGCGTGCCCTCTTCAGTGAGGCCAAACTCCCGCGGGGCTGAGGAGGTGTGCACAAAGCTGCTGAAGTGCAAATTGGAGCTGCCCCTGTGGAAATGCTTTTACAGGTGTTGGTTTTTGGCCGTCTCTGAGGAGTTTCTCTGGGCAGGTGTGCTACTAAAACTGACCCCACATCCTCCATCCCATCCTGCCAGGCTTGGGTGTCCACACACAGTCCCTCTGTGTGTCCAGGACTTCCTGGGGGCAGTGAGCCAAAATGATCCCTGTGAAGCTGGGATTTGCTGTCCAGGGTTTGCAGGCTCAGCCTGGCCTGTGGACTATGCAGAAAGACGGTGGAGCTGGCAGCAGCTGTATCTCTCCTTCCTTCATCTTCCTGTTCTTAGTACATCGTGGATTCGACCTGCAAGCCCAGAGAATGGGACTTTCAGGGAATTCGTGGAGCTATCCCTTGAGAAGCAAGAAATGCAGGCAACTGACACATTGTTGGATGGCACTGTGGGAAGGAGAACATGAGTCCATGTTTGCAGGGCAAATCTGTCCTACTTACAGCAGGAGAGGACCTTGCTCCCAGCCAACCTCCTGGAAACGCTCTGCCCAGCACATCCAGAATAAACTGTGGAGATCTCCATGCATTCCTAGGGAAAAACAAAGGCTGGGACTTCTCCTTAAAGCTGGGATGGAAAACCTGCTTGAGCTTGTGCTGCTCAAGGTGTACATCAAAACCTCCTTCGACCACATCTGCACGTGGAAAGCTCCAGATGTGATTCCTTCCCAGGGTCCTCCCTCTGGAATGGTGTGGAGCAGGGGCTGGCAGTGTCCTGGTGTGACTCAGCAGCCTCATCCTGTTGGCTCCCATGGCCTGGCTGCTCAGGAGCCCTTCTGCTCTCAATCATGTGATGGGGCTGTGGCTTGGGAGCTGTTCATGATCCACACATGGCTCCAGGTCAACAACGCTCCAGAAGGTCCAGATGTTTCTGCTCAGGTTATTTCTGCAAATCCGGATAGGAGGGCTGGATGCCAGCTGGAGGGACTGGTTTGCATCAGCCTTCCAGGCTCTTCTGCTGCCAGGGGAGATCTGGTGCTGGGTTTCAAAAGTGACAAAATCTCCATTAACTTCCCCATCTTCTTGTCCTCATGTCTTGGGTCTGAAGTGGAAGTTTGTAAACAAAGGGGCTGGAAGAGATCCATATCAAAACTTGCCACAAACAGCATATTCCCTGAGTCATGAGGACCCACAGCAAAGCATTTAAAAATAAACAGCTCTGGAGGCTGGTAGAAGGATCTTAGAAACGCTTTCCTTCCTGTCCCCAACCTCAGAAATCAAATACTGCACTCTTGAAGCTTGCTTTCTGTCTCTACGGGGTCAATAAAACCCTTCAGCCTCAGGTAAATCATTCAGGAGAGGTGATGGCAAGCAAGGAAGAACCCTCAGCTCAACAGGTTTGAGGAAGAAATCTCAGCTCAGAAGGTTTGAGGAAGAACCTTCAGCTCAGCATGTGCCTGGGCCATGGCCACAGAGCCAAATCCCCGTATGCGCTGCAGCTGGAGCTGCCAGGATGTAAATCATTACATCTTTGCAGTCCCTTCCTCTATTTTATAAATACCAGTGGTTATTTTCTTTCCCCTTTTTCAAGCCAGAGCCACACATGCCCCTGTGTCACCTACTTCTTTAGTCAGGTCTCTGCCAAAACAACTCCTGGACATACCAGCAGTGCCTTGCTCCAAGGGCACTTGTGCTGGAGAAAGAGGTCACCTGTTTGATTGCAAAAGTGGCTTTTTTGCTTATTTTAGATCTGTTTGGTTTAACCTGCCTCAATCACAAACTGGACAGTGCCCCAAGCCTATCGTGCCAGGGCTTAATTTCTGCACCAGCGAGGAAAAGCCTGGTTTAAAAAAGGCATTTAGAGATGAAATCAAATTAAAATTAACTCCAGACCTTTGTGCCTTGTGCTCCTTCATGCCCTAAGGACAAATCTGGTTCAATCAGATCTACCTTAACTCTTATCACTCTTCCTAAACTCCCTCTCACTGCACATGGGAACAAGTATTATACAACGTGATGGGTTGCATCCACTTACTTCCAGGACAATACTGAGGCAAATCTCACAAAAAACTCAGCTCCATGAAAAGAAATACAAAATCAAAGCCTGCTGAAGCATTTCCATGCTGTGTTTAACATTATAATTTTCCATAGGGAAAGAAAAACACCACAATTTTCTCTCCTGGATGCTGAAAATGAGATACCAAAGGCTTTAATTAAGAATGTAGGTAATTAGGCTGCTTTTCCAAAGTCTCTGCTCTCCCATTAACAAAGAAATTGTTGGCCAGATATTTTGCACAAATGTTTTCCTGCAGTGTTTACAGTCCTGGCCAGTGTATGCAAACTGGAAATGGGCTGGAAACTGTTGTTAAAGGGGACACGACTCCTTTACAGAAAGATGCAGCAATAATGGCTCTCAGTGGAAATTAATCTGGCTTGTAAAATAAACCCAACCTTAGTCATCAGCTGAAATGACATAGAACACTTAGAAAAATGTTTGTTTCAAGTCATTCCAGACCTGAGGAAGGGTTTGTGTTTCCTGGAAGTTTGATTTCTATGTGAGTTTATTTAAAATATGATGTCTCTTCTCCCTGCCAACATGTCCCGTTCTTCAAAATTGTAACATGATGGATATTTGGGATATTTTCTGTAAGTTTTGATGCTGCTCTTGGATCCTGTGGCAGAAGTGATGGTTGGAGTGCATTGGAGCAGCTTCTGAGAGAATAAATCCATGTGGAATTTCCCTGCAAGGAGAGTTATCTCACCAGAAGAGCTGAGGGGTGACAGTGTTCAGATAACACCAGATAACCTGGTATTGGTGTCTGAGCACAATTAAAAGCTGAAAAGTTTTCATCTGGTAACTTGTCTTTGAACTTGCTTGGTTGTGAAAGTAGAAGACTTTTTTTATTGGAGCTCTCAGGGTTTGCTGCAGATTAATTGAGTGGTCTCAGAAATGTTGTCACAGTGCTTTCCTGAGGGTAAAATCATCCCTCCACAAAGTGCCACTTATGCCCTACTTCCCTTCAATTAAGGCTTTCAAAATAACTTTGCAGTGGGGTTTTTCTATTGAAAAACTTTCCTCACCTGCAGAAAACCTTTGAAAGGCTGTATTAAAATATCTTTATGTCTGATAAGGGGGTAAAGATGCAGCTGGGGGATGGGAGGGCTGTGACTCCACTCACACCTGCTGAGCCTTTTCCCTTTTCCAGGTGCGTCCCCTTTTCTACCTGAGCCTCTCAGATCTGTTCCTGGGCATGTGCTGGCTGGCTGGGGCCCTGCTCTACAGCTCACCCACCTCCCAGCAAGATCTCATCTGCTACAACCTGCAGGCCACGGGACAGGTGAGTGGCCTTGGCACCACGTTCTAGAATTAACCTTGTAATTTGTCATTGTTAACCTTGTTGGTGATCAGAGCGTGGCCATGGGGGCTGTTTCTAGACAGGCTTTAGCAGGTATCTTGGCTTTCTGTGGAAAAGGGAGAAAATGACACTGGGGTTTAGGGTCCTCTGGTGTATCAGAGGAAAAGATAAGGTGGGATTTTGTAGTTGCTTGTGTGAAATGAGCAGATGGGACTTGATCTTTCTCCTGTTGGATCCATGCCCGTGGATCTCTGTGCTCTCACATGGTGCTTTTCTGTTTCTCATTGTGCTTCCTCCAGCCTGGGCAGGAACAGACATTCTGTGACTTGCTCGAGCTCAGGCTTAAATTACTCACGTGAACATCCCAGTTCTTGCTCTTTCCAAGGATCCTCCATCAGCACAAGCTCAGCCTGTGTCCCATTGACTCAGCTGCTTCCCTGTGCTGAGGGCCAGTGGAGTAGGGTGGGTGAGCACTGTTTTCCTGACAGTTTGCTGTTGCCTCAGTTCCCTTTTCAACACCAGGCTTTGGAAATCTCAGCTCTCAAAAATCTCTGCAGAGCCCAGCTGAGCATGGGGATTCATAAATTATGATCTCTGGAATTAATTTTTTTTTCCTTTTAAAAGACTGGGAAGTGCAAGGGAAGCCTTGATGTGTGGGCTTGGGTAACTCCCTGAGAGTGTGGTGGTACCACAACAGGGAACTGAATGTCCTTGTGGAAAAGCAGCATCCAAAGCTGGAAAGGATCTCCATGTGCCTCAGAGAGGGCAGGGAAGTAGCTGCAGCTACAGGATGGAATTGTTCCTGCTGTTGTGTGTCTGGGGATGGGCTCCTGCAGCCCAGGATTGTTTCAGCAGCTGTTTTGGGGGTACAGATGTGTTGCTGAGGGTGGTGAGAGCAGCTGTTCCACTCCAGGCTCATTTCTGGTTTCTCCAGCTCTACTGGCTCCACAGTATGTTCATGTTGAGAGAAACAGTGAGGTTTGGGTAACATGGCCACTTGGGAATGATGCAGAACAACATCAAAGGTGTTTTCAAGGTGATGGTAAATGGGAAAATGAGGAGAGCTTGGGAGAGGCTTTCAGAGCTAGAAGGTGGAAGGAGAAAGCAGGACTGAGGCTGTTCCTGAGCTGTTTCCCTTGCCTGGGGGACAGTTCTTTCAGCTGGTGTGATGTTTTTATAGCCTGGAGAAGGCAGTTTGCACTGCTAGAGGAGAAATAAGTTAGCTATGGAAAATATGCCCATAATTTCTCAGCTCTCTTGCACTTCTGGCTCTTCTCTGCCCTCACTTTTCCAGCCTGTGGCTGTGCTTCGCAGGGACACCAGCACAGGATGGGACAAGGTGGGAGCTCTGTGTTCATGGTGGGTGGGCAGAGCTGGCCTTGGGCCAGGGCTTGTGGTGGGTTGTGCAGAGTCACAACCTGACCTCAGCCAGGCTCCCCTGGCTCCTCTCCTGCATGCCACCACCAGTCCCCACAGCACAGGGACTGCCTGGGTGGCAGAGCCAGATTGTGCCTGGCAAGAGCCGTGGCTGCTGTTTGCTCTGGGAGAAATTAAAACAAACCTTGCCATGGAAACCTTTCCCTCAGGGCATGTGACAGTGCAGGACCTCCTCACCCAACACCCTGCAGTGCCCTTGAGAGGTGGGAACACCTTGTGCGTAAGAAGGAGCCAGTAACAACAGGTTGAACCAGCAGATTCTGCAGAGCAGGAGGGATCTAGAGGCTGATGGAATGAGTAAATAAACGTCTCACTGTGCTTCTGGGTGTCTCACACCTGGGGCCTCTCTGCACACCAACACCCAGAAGGTGTCGGATGAGCTGAGGTGAGGATGGGAAGGGACAGCCCAGCAGTGGAGTTTGCAGCCCTTGGAGAAGCTCACACTGGAGTCATTGTGATGTCTCAAGGCACTGCCTTAAGAGCAGGGCAATATTTTGCTTTATTCAGGCTGTTTGCCATTATTTGTCATCACAGGCTGATGTTGCAGTGGATGGAGCTACCCAGTGTCCAAACTGTGTCAATAAAGAAGGAGATTGCTTTGTTTCTTGGATTTTCCCTCTTTCAGCTCCAGAGCTTTGATTGAGATGAATGTAAATACTGCTCCCTTTGCTGTCCCTCATTCTCTCCTCCTCCTACATTGCAATGATAAAGTCCAGAATAGATATTGTGGTTATAATTGCACAACTCCCCATGTTCTTCCAGTTCAGTTCCAGTGGCCTAATAATGTCCTGGCAGGCTCTGCTCATGCTGGGCAGCACAATGGGAGCCACAGATGGGATAATGAGGGATTCTTGTGTCTCTGCTTTATTTCCTCATGGGCAGTGCTGCAGGACTGTCCCCAGCCCCAGAGCTGGGGCTCAGGAGAGCAGAATTCCCTTCCCTTCCTGCTGGTACCTTCACAAGTGGCATTTGGGTCTCTGTTCTAGAAGGCAGCACTGACATTTCATGAGCCTCTCCCGGGCATCCTGAAGTGCAAGAGAACGATCCCTGTGGACTATTTTGGCCTTCTCTGGAAGTAGTTGGAAAAGGGCAACAGCCCCTCATTAAAACTCATTTAATGAACTGGAAAGTCACTGCAATGTTCCTGTGGCAGCCCTTGGACTCAGCCTCTTGAGCCAGCCAAGAGCATTCACAACCTCAGTGAAAGAGGCCAAGTTTGTTTAGTGACCACTTTCCCAGCTGTGGATGATACCAGGGTGGCAAACCTGTGCTCCTTATCTTTTTGGCAAAGGATAGCAAAGCCACAGAAAGAAAAAAACATTTGCTTGTCCAGCCCTTCCTCTTTGCCACTGAAGTTTGTGTTTCCTGTCACAACACAGCACATGCATGTACGTGATCTGATTAGGCAACCTGGAGTAAGCATTAATTTGGAAACAAATTTGATCAAGATTTGGGGAGGGTTTATAGGAAGTTTTAGATAATTAGACTAATCTGAAGCTGGAATCAAAGGCTATGAAACTCTCAGTGCTCAATCTTTTCTCCTTTTTCCCACGAAGGAAGAAAAGGGTTTTTGGGATGTTAACTTGGGCTGAGGGCAGAGAATAGCTGCCCTAACATTCCTCTTGAAATGTTCAATTGTTTTCTGTTTCCGTGAATTCTCTGCATAGTCAGCTCATTATGCAAGAAGCAAATCTAAATGTCACATCTGTGCTTGTTTTCCTAATGGACATAGCATTGAGAAGGTCCAAGTGCCTCTGAAACCCTCATTGCCAGGCCCTGAGCCAAAAAAATTAGCCAGATCACAAAGATTTTTATTTCCAAGACAATCCTGTTGTCATTAGTTGTCCTGCCTGAGGCCAAAGTGAAGCTGTGTGATCTAAGGTGAGAATCTCCAACCTGGCTCTTCCCAGCTGCATGTGAGCACAGCCCCTCTGCTCAGACCCTCACCTTTGGCAGGTGTTCATCCTCCTGCCTCTCTTCCATGGGATTCGGGAGGAACTAAACATGCTCTAGGAATTATTATTTCAGGACTGAAATGCTGGTTTTATTTCTCAGGTATTCTATGTGGCCTCTTTTCTCTACACTGTAAACTACACTTGGCACCTGTACATGGACCTCAAGGTGAAATACAACCAGAACCTCTTCAGGGTGCCCCCCCAGGTGAGTGGGACTGGTGTAAAGGCTGGGAACCCAGGGACAAGGACACAACACTCAGGAAAAACCTCCCTGCATTGCAGGCTGAGCAAATACTTCACACACCCCGTGACCAAAATCTCTCCTTGCTGTTAATGCCTCCCTCACACCCAAACAGGGAGGCACCACCACTGCCATGACCAGGCTGGGGAATACCCCAGGTATTCCTGCAAGATGGCACATTCCTTATGCAGCTCTTCCCAACAAACCCATCAGCCCCACTGCCCTACACAGCTTCCCCAGACATTTGCTGTGCACAGCAAACTTTGTATCCCAGATAATCCATCTGGTAGTTCAGGAGCAGCAGGATGGGCAGATCCCCCTCAGCTGCTGAAATGCTCAGCTCCTTCCTGTGAACCAGGGGCTGTACAGAAATAATTAAGATTTTTGGATTTTGCAGGTTGTAGATTATGCAAGTTGTGTTGGCCGAATAGCAACTATCTTGTCAAGGTAAGATTTCATTCTGCCTGATAGAGGGTGTGGATTTGGTAAGAGTTAATTTTCCCTGGCAGAGGGTGTGGATTTGGTAAGAATTAATTCTCCCTAGTGGGAGATTGTGGATTTGGCAAACTGCAGTGTGTTGATCCCTGTTTCCTACTTGTTTTAAAGCAAGCTTTACTAAAAAAGCTGTAAAGCTCATCATTAACAGCAGAGTGACCTCATGAATGCAGAGTAAGAGGGTTTTTTCAACCAGGTTAATGATAACTTTATTAACTGGATGTGGTTTTCCAGAAGGTTTCCCTTTACCAATAATTAGCCCTCACAAATGAAAGCCCCGATGCTGGTAAAGCTGATAAAATACTTTTCCAGAGCAGTGTAGTGATGGGAGAAAAACCAAGCAGTGCCCAAGTGGAGCCGTGCAATAACCCATGACTCTGCTGTCCTTCTCCTCTCAGCCTGATCCCTTTCCTCCTCATGGTGCCTGTGTTTTGCCTGGGCAACAGCAGTAATTGCTACCAGAACTTCAGCCAGAAGCACGGGTGAGCTTCCTCCCTTCCTCTGGCACAGCCCCAGGGCTGCTGGGGGTGGGCAGGAGCTCAGGCTCTCCTGTGTCCCACAGGTGTCTCCTGATGCACGCGGAGATGGCCGAGCCCCCCAGCCAGCCCCAGAGCCCGAGCGGCTCTGTTTGCCGTGCAATGCATTTCTACAGCATCGGCGTCTTCCTCGTCTCCTTCCTCATCAGCTTCGTGGCCATCCTGGTAAGGCTGGTCCTTGTGGGGCCCTTGGATGGCTCCAGAGGCTGGGCACTCATGGAATCACAGAATGGTTTGGGTGGGAAGGCATCTTTAAGCTCATCCAGTGCCACTCTCTGCAGGGACACGTTCCACTGTCCCAGGTTGCTCCAAGCCCTGTCCAACCTGGCCTTGGACACTTCCAGGGATGGGGCAGCCACAGCTTCTGTGGGAAGGATTTCCTCCCAGTATCCCATCTAAACCTGCTTTCAGTTTTCAATCTATTCCCCCCTGTCTGCTCACTCCATGCTCTTGGCAAATAGGGCAGGGGAATAACTGTGTGGTGCTGCCTCCCTTTTGGAAAGGGTGGTAGGGGAAGGAAAATATCACCGTGTCACCAGATAAATCCATCTGGAGTCCTGTGTACTTTCAACCCAGCCCAGAAATATTTAGCAGGATTTCCAAATATTGTCAAGCTTGGAGCTTGACAGAGATCACCTCCTGCATGGGTCAGCAAGAGGTGATTAATGGTTGGACTCCATGATCTTAGAGATCTTTTCCAGCCTAAACAATATGATTCTAAAGTCAATTCAGAGTCTTCAGTTTAGAAAAGGCCACTTGCAAAGCAACACCTCCCACAGGATTTCAGTGCTGTGTGAAAAGTTTGGGTACACAGGGATCCACCCTGGATGAACCCAGCAGATCACAGCCTGTACAATAACATTTGCCTGTTCTTTTCCAGGTTATCCTGAGTCAGGCCCGAGGGCTGTACAAGAGGTTTGTGAACTCCACAGGATTCCTGGGGGATCAGCAGTGGGCCATGATTAAGATGGTGGAACAACGGGTGGTTTTTTACCCTGTTGCCTTCTTCTGCTGCTGGGCCCCAGGTGAGCAGAGAGTTCCCCCCACAGCATCCCCCTGTGGAAGCCCAGAGAGGTGGGGTTAACTTCACCCTCTCATCCATCCCTTTCCACAGCTGTCCTCCTTGGAATGCTGAAATTGACTGCTTCAACAACCAGCAAAATCTACATGGCTCTGCTGATCCTGCAGGTAAATGTCTGCCCCTGCAGCCTCCTGCCTTCTCACCTGGATGCAGCTGGGCAAGGATCTCTGCTGTGTGTGTGTGAGCCAAAGTCTGATTTGTGCTTTTGTTTGGCAGAGCTTTTGGTTTGGTGGTTGATGTTTTCCACAGGCATGAAAAGGTCTCAGTACCCAAAATCCCAGTACCACAACAGTTCAGTGGTGAACAGGGTGCTGGGTGGATGTTTGGACTTGGTGACCTCAAAGGTCTTTTTCAACCTCAGTGATTCTGTGGACATGGAAATTGTAGTAAATAGGACTAGAAAGGATCACCAAAAATTTGTTTTGTTTTTCGTATGTCACCACGTCTCCATATATGATTCCTTAATAACACTTGTCCAACTTCTTCCTGTGCCTGCGGCAGAAGTTAGACATTTTATTAAATTATATAGTTATTCTATTAATTTAATAAATAAACATACATAATATATATTCAGTATTTGTACAGCATTTATATTTAATTAGACATTCCTTAAACATTTATTAAAATAACAACACAATTTCTCTATCACACGGAAGATAAAATCCTGCTGGGCGGGGGAAGTTTTCCAGGGATCCCTGATTCCCCTGTGCTCTCTCCCAGGCTCTCACCGCAGCTTCCCAGGGGCTCCTGAACTGCCTGGTGTACGGCTGGACCCAGCACGTGTTCCTGTCCCTGAAGCGCGACTCCCGCCGGGATGTGGACACCCAGACGCCGCTCCTGCGCTCCCAGAAGAAATTCTACTCCAGCACGGGCCCCGCCGGCCCGCCCGACACCGAGGGCTCCTCCTCCACCCTGCTCTGATGCAGCCCTGCCCGGAAGGAGAGAGGAGAGAGGCAGAGTCCTTCCATCTCCTCGTTCTCCAGAGCCGGGATGGAACTGCCCCTCGGGGCTGGCAGAGCCAGGCGCTCAGTGGACATAGTTATTTATTTGATGGATCATTTCAGCGTGGTAAATCTTTAGTCCAGACTTTCTTCTCTTGGAAATATCCCTAGAAATGCAGCAAACCCCAGGTAAAGGCTCAGAGACCTGGTCCAGCTCCATGGAGGTTGAGCAGAGGATGTTTTACTTTGTTTTATTTCTCCAAGTTATTGCCTTTACAAATTAACAAAAAAGCAAAATGAGTATTTTTCAATCTCTGCCTTTAAATTCACTCTAACCATGAGAATTTCACCACCCTAAGAACCAATTGCAAGAAATGAAGAATTGCAAAGCAGAACAAAACCTGCCTGGAATTTCTGCACATTTCCCTTCCCTTCTTCCTGCCAACTCCTGCTCAGCCACAATACTCCCAAAAATCAGCTGCTTCGACCCTGTGGAGCATCTCTCATGAACCAGGTGAGCAGGACTTTGAATCTCTCTTTGCATTTCCAGAAGTTCACATGAATTATTTACTGAGGTCCCACCATTCTACAGGAAATAAAACAGGTCTTAAGCTGTGTTGAAAATAACTCTTTACCTTTACACTTTATTTTCCAACAGCTTCACTTTTTGGGTCCAACCCAAATTTTTCTCATAGCAGGTTAGACAAGAAGAGGAAATACTCCAGCTTTGTGTATTTAACTTACACAACATAACTGTGTAAACTCTGGGTAAGTCACACAAGGGCCCTGGAGGTTTGGTCAATGACTTATTTTCTCTTACAGAGTGAAACAATTCCATTTTGCTGTTCTACAGGATAAAAACAAAGTTTTCAGCCATCTTCTTCCACCTGGTCCTTCAAATCTTCCTCTAGTCCCAAAGTTTGGACATAGACGACTCGGTGTTTCTCCAGCCCCACTTCAAAGGCAAATATTCCATGGGGAGGATGGGATTTGAGCCCTGGCACTGGCAGGGCATGAAACACACCCAATCTCATCCCTGAGAGCCTCCTGCACACTCCTGGGACTGACCCCGTTTGTGGAGCCAGTGCAATTTGTTTAAAAGGGGATTAAGGCTTTCTAAGTGATGGAAGATTACCCAGGAAACAATGATTGGATTGCTAATGGAGCATCAGAGCTGGCAGTGGGTGCTGACACGTTCCCAGGGCTCCTCAGACAGCTCAGCAGTCCCTCAGTGTTTGTTTGAGGGGGAATTTTCTTGCTGGAAAGAGCCATTCCATGGGCACTCCATCTGGGTTGGCTGCTCTAAGTACTCCCAGGAAATTATTCCCTCAGTCCCTTTCCAAGTCTGGATGCTCTGAGGGTCACTCACCACCCAACCCACTCTGAACTCCCCTAAGGCACCAAGTAGAGGGAAATTCTCTTACAAGGAAGGAGCCTGAGCTGTCACAACTGCCCTATCTTGTGTCCTGAAATGCTCCCGGGCCAAGGGTGTGTCTGGTTCCTGTCACCAAGTCAAGCCCTGCTGGAGGACAACAAAACCATTTCCAGAGGCAGGAAGGGTCCAAGTGCCACCCTGAGGCTGTGTGTCCAGAGGGGTGAGGGAAATCACTCCTTGCTGCCTGCAAAAGCACAGGGCCATCAGCAACAAAGGCAGATCCACTTCTCACCACCCAGTGTCCCCCAGCCGGGCTCCCACCTCAACCAGCTGCAGGGATCATCAGCTCAGAGGAACTGGGTCCTATTTGCAGAGTCCCTGAAGGCAGAAGGACTCATCCCTCCCTTCCCTGACTGCCCAGTCCAACCCCACAGCCCTCAGGGGTTAACTGGGAGCACTGGGCAGGTGTTGCTGCCATCTGATGGAAAACTGGGCTTAAAAAAGGCAATTTTGGGTTATGTTGCCAAGCAGAGCCCAGGATTTCCTAGGGATTTATCCGGCCTCTCCTGTCAGTTCAAATCCTCCTTCAAGTGCTTATTCCCATGGATAAGGGAGGTGGGATGGGGGTGGCAGAATAATGGAATCTCTAAGGCTGGAAAAGCCCTCTAAGACCATCAAATCCAGAAATGAACCCAGCACCACTGTGCTCACCACTAACCACACCCCCAAGTGCTGCATCCACACCTTCTGGACACTTCCAGGGAAAAGCAGGGTGGCAAGAGAAGCCTGCTGCTGTTCCCTCCTGCTCCTTCCTTCTCTCCTACAGGGATTTGGGGACCAAACAAAAGCAGCCAGGAACTTTTGGGTTTAGTAAAATTATTTATATACATGATGGGTAATATTTACAATGTAATACTGATCCAAAAGGAACTAACGTGGAACACTGAGAAAGAAAAATGAGAACATTTTAACACACAGGAGTTAAACATGGGGTCAGACAGATTTCCAAAAGAAAATCCAGAAGTAATGACAGCAAAACTTTGACATGTTGCTATTTCCAATCAAAATCTCTTTCACTAATCAGGTTCTCCTAATTTTAATATATATAGAAAATCTTCAAATAATCAAGTCACAGGAGAAGCCAGTTATACAGAAAATTTTGAAAAGGTCAAATGATTTCAGAGATTTTTCTTCACTTAAATAAAATTCTAAAAAAAAAAAAAAACCAAACCCAACAACCTCCAGAGCTTTCCCACATATTTTTAGTGTTTTTACAAAGAAATTTTTCTTTGATCCCACACTTCCAGCTCAAGATATTTACAATATTCACAGTCTGCTATAAAGGATCAGTAGATTTATTATCAAGTCAAGCCTTAGAGAATCAAGACAAGGTGTCTTGCATTTGCTTCAACTGAAAAATGAACTAAACACAGGAAGGAGAAAGTCAAATGTTACTTTCAAACTTGTAAATTAACCCATTAAAGTTATTGAACTTTGAAACGTAAAACAGAACTTTTCCAAGAGTAAAAAAATCACCTTTCCCATAGAAACAAAACCATTTGACCTTGAGTCTTCAAATTGTGTTTTCTTAATCTGTCCCTCCTCCCTCTGCTTCAGATCTCATTTATCACAGAGAAGAAAATGTAGATTAAATCCATCAAAAGCAGTTCCTTGTAGCAAAAGCCCTTGGAAATTTGTACGAATGTTCCCATCTCAGGATCAGCAGCTCTTGGATGAAGAAAAGGAGGAATCCTCTAGCACACATCAGATCTCACCTTTCCCCCCTTACTGCACTTCCAACAAATTCTGGCTCCCAAAAATCTGCCTGAGGATTTCCCTCCTGGGAGGGCAGAGTCACAAAGAGCTTTTGGAGGGGATTTTTTGCTCTGCCGTTCAAAAAAAGGTAATTTCCTTGTTTCCATCTCTATCTGCCACATTTGAAAGTTTCAATTCCCCAGAAAGACATGGATTTCAACTTCAAAATGAAACCCTTTCAAGACATGACCTAGAATTAGAGGAAGGACAGAAATGCACGTAACAGGGCTTGGTGGTACAGCCAAAAAAATGACAAAAAACTCTCAATTTTTGCTAATTCTCTTCAGTTTTCATCAACAGGACAGTGCACAAATATTCCAGGTAGTGTCAGAGGTACAATTCCAGCTCACACAAACACTCCCTGCTACCATCAGAGGGATAAACAGGGACTGTTCTTACCCTACAACAAATTAGGCATTGGAAAACTGTCCACAGGATTAAGGAAAGCTGACAGAACAGAAAACAAAGCATCTCCTTCATGTAGAAAAAACAAGCCACTGTTTAGAAAATTGTATAGAAAGAATCAGACACTGCTTTGCCATCCAGCTAAAGCTGCAAGGAAATTTTGGTATAGAAAAGAGACAAAAAAAGAACAAGGCTGGACTTTTGTAGGAGAGAATTGGGAGATTCATGGCTCAGGTTTGTCAATGTAAACCCAAAAACAGATGAGCTGTGAAAGACAACAACGTTCAAGGAGTGGTCACTGATGGCCCTGGGTTGGCACTTCAGTCTGCAGACCAAACTCACCCGATGTCTGCACAGATTTGGTACCAAAATAGCTCTATAAAAAGCCTCCGCCCGATCTCGAAAGAAAGAGAAGCAGAAAAGGTAGAAAACTAGAACTATGTACAGATTCTTGCCATTGGTTTGCTTTATCAGGATTTAAAAAAGCAGCTTTTGGAGCCAATGTTCCAGACTAGAGTAAGAACCTGCCCTGGGGAGCAGGGAACAGCCCTGCAGTTGTGGCTCCCCCAAGAAGGAGCTCGAAGGCATCAGAGATGGGAATTTGGGCTCCAGAGACAAATCCCAGGGGTTCCCCAGAGCACTGGGAGCCTGCCAAACAAGAGGACAAGTCAGAACCCAAGCCTTGGATCTTCTAGGAAGGAAACAATGGGAATATGGGGGTGGATCCCAAACAAACAAAGCCCAGGCTGGTCTCAGTCCATAGAAGATCCCACCATGGAAATTAAAAGAACTTGTGCATAAGGACTTGAACATTCTTCTGTTCTGCTGTTGGACAAGGTGAGAAAAAGAAGAGTTTTGTGCTGAATGGCTGATTCAGCCTGAAAAAAGCTCTGAGGAAGATGAGGAGAAAGAAAGAGAAGAGGTTAAGCCTTAAAGAGGGCTTCTCCTGAGGGAGATGGGGAAGATGACAAAAAAAAGAGTCACTGCTCAGAACTGAAAATTTCAGCAAGCACATGGCCTCAGGTGCCTGGGCCAGGCACCAAGCCAAACTGAAAGGTATTTAATTGATTTTTCTCTACCTAAAGATCTGGAATTTAGGTGCCAAAAGGAGCTGTGAATTTGCATTTCACAGCACTTGCTTCAAGTACTCACTGAGCAGGGGCTTGAGAAACTGTGGCTCTCCTTCGCATACAGTCACTGCAGGGGCTGGATGTGGCAGGTGAAAGGCAGCTTCTGCAACTGGTTATTAAGAAAAAGAATGGTTTTTAACAATAAAATCCACCCCATTTTTGGGGCTCATGATTAACAGTACATAAGTGATCATATATACCTCGAGGAACTGAGTTTTAAAAAAATATTACAGTACCAATGATTTTTTTTTTGTATCTACAACTATACAGCATTTTCAAGCAGTATGGAAATTTCATGAAATAATTATGATTTATTAATTTACATAAAAATACTTTTTACAGTTAAAGAATAAATCTTAAATGGTAAAAAAAATAAGATTAAGAAGCTCCAGCTATTGAGAGTCATGGGAGTTTGTTTGCTCTTCAATCACTTGTTTGACAATTTCTGCCAGTTTTAGTCGATCCACTTTGTCTGTGAATCCTCTACCTGGAAGGGAAAAAACAGGGAATCAGCTGGAGCTGGGCACAAGGAGGAAAGCAATCCCAGCTGGAATTAAACAATGCTTCACACAGACTTAGGACAACAGCAGCACAGGATCCAAAAGAACTTACAGACCATAGTTCTGTTGGGAAAATGGAGCAATTAAAGATCTCAATGAAAGCCAAGCACATAGAACAGAGGAGGAAGCAGGATCAAGCCCTTGTGAAGCTGACTGATGCTCCTGGTCCCTTTCATCCATCAGCACCTGCTCCTGGGGGCTGACATCTCTGCAGCCTCTTCTGTCCAGGAGCCACCTGAGCATTGCCAAGGTGTCTGTCCTGCTTTCATTCTGCTTCCCCCCAAGCTGAGCTGCAGAGCTGCTGTGCTGAAAGGGGGGAGCAGCCTCCAGCAGAAAGAGGGA